TCCTGCTCTGCTGGTGGCAGCGGAAGCCAGGATTGAAACAAGGCACCAGCCTATCCCTGTCCCCTCCCAGCCTCAGCTCGTGTCCCTGTCCCACCTGAGGTGCAGGCAGGCAGGGTGACTGCTGGGTCTTGCCCTCTGCCATCCCATTAGGGCTGATGGAGATCCTGCCTGACAACTGTGTCCAGGTGGGCAAGAAGGAGCTGATGTACACGGGCACCGTGGGGCTCATCATCTACCTCGGCGGCGTCATCTTCATCAACAGGAAGAGCACCAGCAGCGCCAAGATGGTGATGGCTGAGGTTGCCAAGACCATGGCAAATGAGAACGTGAGTGTGGCCGTGGGGCTCAGTGGGGTGGCCTGTGTCTGGGCACCCCGGGGTGGCACGGGGGCATGTGGAACTCCTGGTGCTGGCTGACCTGGAGTCACAGCCACCTGCAGCTCTTGGCAAAGCTGACTGGCAGCTCGGGGCACTGCAGGTGGATTGCTGGAGTTAAGCCTTGTCTCTCCCATGTGCAGCTGAAGGTGTGGGTGTACCCAGAGGGCACAAGGAACTGCACTGGGGATTTGCTGCCGTTCAAGAAAGGAGCATTTCACCTCGCTGTCCAGGCACAGGTAACAGTGCTCTGCCCCTGCACAGGCACCCTGAGTGCTTTTGCAGTGGCATTCCAGGTTGGTCGTGCAGTGTGTGGTTTATTTGCTCTCAGGTTCCCAGGTAACACCTCCCCAAGTAAACCACTGTTAGGTGTCAGAAGTGCTGCCCAGAAGGAGCCAAGAGCCTTTTCCATCCCCTGTGGGAGTGACCTGACGCTGGGGACAGGTGGCTGCAGGCAGTGGAGAGCTGCCTTTTCCTCTCTGCTGCCTGCCCCAGTCCCAGTGTTCCATCTGCAGGGCAGGCACACTTGACCCTCATTCCAGGCTTTCCTGGCAGTGCCTGTGCCCAGGGGCTTCTGGGGGCATGGCTGTAGCCCAGAGCTCCTTCTGGGAAGGGAGCCCAGCAGGTGCTTTCCTGGGGAATCCCAAAGCTGTCGATGCATTTCTCAATCCCCCAGGTTCCAATAGGGCAGAGTTGATTCAGGATTGTTAATGCTCATGCTTTATAGCAACATCTGGGCTTGCTCTGTGTGGAAATAGCTGCTCCCTCCCTGATGGCCATATGGCACTTCTTGATGTGTCTTTTTTCCCCAAAATGACAACATCCATGAGCAGTCAGTGGGGGAGCAGGCAAACAGCTCCTTGGTTTCAGCCAGCCAGAGCTATCCATGCTCTCAGAGGGGGCTGCTTGTCTGGGCAGGGCACTGGGGCAGTGTGCCAGGGACTGGGATGATTTGAGGCCTCAGGGGAAATTGGTTACAGCAGGGATTCTGGAGAAGGGAGTAGGTGCCAGATCCCTTGCTGAGATCGACTACCTAAACCCAGGGTGCAGCCTGTGTTGTACCATCCCCATTCCTGCCTGGGTGACGCAGCCAAGGCAGGGCCTGGCAGCTGCTGGAAGGGAAGGATGTCAGTGGAACTGGTACCCGCCTCTGCTACACCCCCTGAGTCACCTACTGTAGATCCTGTCTGTGTTATCAGCGTGGAATAACGACTCTGTGCCTGCCCTCCTGGCCCTGGCTCTGCCTGAAGCTTCCCCGGGAGCAATCGATGGCAACTGGTGACTCCTTTTCTTAGAAGCTGAAGGCACAGCAGCTGCCTTGCCCCAGACACGTGCTGGTACAGCAGGCAGGGCCTGGCAGAACAGGCATCCTGCAGTGTTTGTTTGCAGGACAGACAATACCCAAGCTTTGAAGCCTGGCTTGGGATGAGGAGCCCTAAAAGCCAGTGCTGACCTGAGGCTGAAGTGGAACTTGGCCCTAGTTCTTTGAGTATCCCTGTGCCTTGAGTTGCTGGGGAGTGATTTTGATCCTGTTTGACTCCTAATTGTCCCAGCCTTTGGAAGTGGGTCTTGCTGTGTGTGCCCTGTGTGTCTGAGAGCCAGGCCAGGTCAGCTCTGCTATGTGGGATTTGCTGCCTGTCTCTGGCCAGCCCTGAGTTGCTGCAGTGCAAGTAACTCCTCTTTTTCTTTCCTTCCCCAAGGTCCCCGTGATCCCTGTGGTGTATTCCTCCTTCACCACCTTCTATAACCCAAAGACGAAACTGTTTACTTCAGGTACCAAAGAGTCACTTGGAGACAGTGTTGATGTTGCCTCCTGTGGAGATCTGGTTCCCAAGGGTGTGGGAGGGAAGCAGAGCTGGGGTGAACAGGAGGAGTCCCGCTGGGAGATGTTTGGAGTCAGTTCAAAGCACTTGGCACCAGAGCCTGGGCTGGGTTAGTTCAGGAAAGGCTGTAATTAAATACACTGAGGGATGTTTTCATTAAAGATTGGATACCACCTCTCCTTTTCTGGGCAGGCTCTGGCTGGGGTGGCAATTTGGGGCACAAGGGGAGTATTCTACTTGGCACAGCTGTTGGTCTAACCACAGCCTCTGCCTGCACTCTAGGGACTGCCTGAAGCCCTGGGATGGGATGAGGGCTATGCTGGGACTGCCCAGGGCAGGGAGCAGAGCAGGGAACAGAGCTCCTGTGGCATGTGGGTTTCTCACAGGCTCCTCTCTTGTTCCCAGGCAAAATCAAGGTGGAGGTTCTGCCCCCAATAGAGACCAAAGGCCTGACATCAGATGATGTCACCGACCTCACTGACAGATGCTTCTGCACCATGAGGGAGACCCTCTTCAGGCTGTCGGGCCGTCCAAGCGAGGCCAAGGACTCGTCCTAGAGGCTTCTCCAGTGATGTCACCATGTGGTGGTGGCTGAAGGGACTTGTTTGTTGTTGCCAAATACTGAAGGAACTTCTCTTCCTCTGCAGTGACTTCTAACTCTGGGAACACCGTGGACTGGCACACACAGGGTGTCAAACCAGCACTGAGGTTTCCCTTCGAGCGGATTTGTCTTATGGGTTCATTTTCTCACTATGAAACGTCTCCTTTTTCTGAATTTCTCAGGCATCAAACTTGTGCTACCAAAGGGCTCAATGACCAGAGGGGTGAGTTCCGCCAGCTCAGGCAGCTGGCATGGGGTGACAGCAAAAACCTGGCTGGAGCCTGGGCTCTGCCTCACGTGAGTGTCCCTGCACGTGTGTTCCTGCAGGCTCAGCCCTGTGATGTCCCAGATGGAAACCACCAGGCAGCAGTTTGTATCTGCACAACCTTGATGCTCAGAGAGGGCCGAGAATCGGGTGAAAATGCAGATTTGGCTTTTCGGCAGCGCTGGGAATGCAGTGTCCTCCCCGGACAGCCCAGAGCACTGCCACCTGGCACAGCGGGACTCACGGGCCTGTCTCCTTGAGATGCCAACCCCATCTTGTTTTGGGAAACTGCTGGCAGCTCCCTGCCGTGGTGGCGGCTCAGCCTGGCCACAGTCCCGGTGCCTGCAGTGCCCCCTTACAGATGCAAAGGGCTCTGTCGGGCTCGTTTTGTCACTTGTCATGGTCAGCACCGGCCGAAAGATGGTGCCTGTCCCGCGTGTCTCTGCCGCTCTCCGAGGCTTGTAAAACCCCTCGGAGCCACAGGGTGGGTGAGCTGCAGCTGGAACGGGGCTTAAGAGGCTTCACCTCTCCCTTCTGGGGACATGAATTCCTTTCCCGGTCAGATAAGGGGATTCCCCTGTGCTTTGGGGTGATGGATGGACCAACAGAGCTCCTGGATCCCTCACTGGGAACTGTAGAAGTGTTGATGCCCTCAAAGGCTGGGTCAGGTCCGTGGTTCCTTTACCTTTAGCTCTGCTGTTCATGGCACAGGGGACCTTGGGATGAGCCACCTGGGGCTACTCAGGTAACCAACACGACCAGCTTTTGCAGCCTGTGTTAGTGGAATTGCAGTTATATGGTATTTTGGGGTTAAAGCCTCAACTGGGAAAGGCAGGGAATTCTGTGGAGGGAGCCCTTGGGCCGAGCTGGTGCTGGCAGGGGCTTTACTGGAGGGGCCTTATGGTACAGACTCAGGGGTCAGACCCTCTGTGGGATGGGTCGGGGTGGGAGGATGGGAACCAAACCAGCACTTTGTGAGAGTGGCAGATAAAGGGCTGTCATGGAGGATAAACCCAGGAGGGCCCTGGGAGGGCTCCTGAGGGATGGTAACCATGTCTGACTCCTGGGAGGAGGCAGCAGTGCCTCTGTGTGCAGTCATCTGCTGTTCACTTTTAATTGGGTTGAGGATGTTATGTGCTTTACAAAAAAAATTACACCTATGATTATTTAAATAAAGGAGCCTCCTGGTCTTGTGTGGGAGCTGAGGGAGGAGGATGTGGGGTCCTGATCCCTCAGCTCTTGCAGGGAGGGGATTTGGTGATTGAGGGGCAGTGGGGGGTCCCTGTCCCTCCCTGTGCCCCCCAGGCAGAAGGGCTGTGCTTCTACTCCCCAAACCACAGGGATGGGCACCCACTCCCCATACCCAGTGCAGGGACCATGTGTACCTGTCCCCTGCCGTGACATCTCGGGGCTGCAAGGACTTGTCCCCACCTTTTCCATGTGACAGCAAGGAGGGGCAGTGTGGGGAAGCACTGCCCTGCTCGGGCCAGGCCTGTGCTCTGCAGGGCAGGCGGCACAGCCAGCCCTGTGCCCGCTGCTCCCTGGGAGAGCACGGCCTGGCATAATGCTAAGGAAAAGCCAGGCAAAGCTAAACAAACTCAGCTTCACACACAGGCAGTCTGGCACAGCCAGGCACTCGTGGCACGAGGTAAGGCATTTATTTGCTGCCTCTCCAGCAGGAAAGAGGGGGAGATGTGGAGGGCTCGGAGTCCAGTTTGGAAGTAACTGCGTGACCTTTGATAAGGTGAGCTGGAAGAGAAAATTATGGAGATGCTGATGGGAAACCAGCCTTCTCCTGGTACCCTGTGCCTTCCTGTAGATGATGAGGCTTTGTCCCCAGCCTGGGGCTGGAGAGTGAGATAAGAGCTGCGGATGCACTCGGCTTGTTCCAAGGCCTCGGGTGTTCAGCTAGAGTTCATTCTTGCAGGAACCTGGGAAGATGGAAAAAAAAGAAACAATTCAGCAACATCCGTAGCCTGGGTTTGGTTTGTCTCTTTTCCAAGCAGATTGACCTTAAACCTCTGTGAATATCACCCACACTTGCAGCTTTCCCTTTGGCAAACAACCCTAGGCTGCCTCTGTCCCACCACACTCGGGAGTGTCACTCTCACCTCCCTGGTGTGTCACAGTCCTTGCCTGGGCCCTGTGTGCAGTGTCCCAAAGCCAGTGACAGTAACAGTGACAGTCTGTGCTGGATCAAGACTAATTCAGACTTAGAGGGGCCAAAGTGGTTATGGCTTCAAGAGCTCTCCTCTGGTGCCTTTGCTGGTGGTTTAAAGAGAAAGTAGTTTTTCTTGGTCCTCACACACACCCCCACTGAGCAGCTAATTGGGGAGTGCAGTTTTATTGTAGCATTCAGTTGTGAAATGCTTCACCAGGCACAGAACGTGGATGGCTGAGTAACTCCATGGGATGCCCTGTGAGCCCCAGGGCTTGCTGGAGTATGACAGGACAGTTTTGTGTCCTCCAGGGACTTACAAGACTATGAAAGGGGACAAAAACAAGTTTTGCTTGCTGGAGCAGGCTTGGCAAAAATTAATTTCAGCACTTTGGAGTCATCCCTTGGAATAAATCCATGTTACCTTGTGATACTGCTCACATTCCTCAGTGCTGTCACTAATAATATGTACAGAGCACTACTAGGAAACTCAGTCTGCTGGAACACTCCATGGTTCTGATAATTACCCCTTTCTGAGATGCTTTTTAAGTGTCTATTTGCAGCTACTTTGTCTTCAAACAAGTTCTTTGAATTCTTTTCCATCTAAGCCATTACTGAAAGCAGTGAACTGGGACTGGATATGCCCTGAACCAGTTTCCCTTGAGTCTCCTGCCATGAGCTCCAGGCTGTTGCTGCACACCAGCTCCTGAGCTGGCCCAGCCATGCCTAGTTTCTGGAATTATTTAATGGGAAAATGAGCTGCAAAGAGCTCCCTATCAAAATAAAGTGTTCACATGGTTGTGCTCTGCTTGGAGTCAAACTGCCACTCTCCAGAGCACCACGGGGCCACAAGGGGATGCTGCCCCTCTCTGTGGTGCCATGGGGGGACATGCCAGGCAGGACCCCCCCACCTCCAGCCACTTCACCCATGGCAACTCTCACTGGGGTCTCTTGCTCAGTTTGCTACTTGGGAGACCCTCTCTGGTGCACTGCTTGGTCTGCAGGCTTCAAAAAGAAATGCCCAAAACTTCCCAGGCTCGTAAATCTGCCAACTTTTGCATGCTCCCTAAATTTCCCTGATTGACTTCTTGGACTGTTAATTTCCTAAGAGCTGGGAGTTCTTTTCTAAGGACCAAATTACAAGGATACAGGAAGGGACTGCAGCCACGAAGTGCTGATTGCCAGACGTGACCCACTGCTCACAGTGGCTCCCTCTGCTCTGCCCCGCAGCCACGTTTCCTTGTGCCAATCTTACAGTTTTTGGCTGCTACACGGGCAGTCAGATGGTGCAGCCACAGAAACTGCTTTGAAATGAAGCTAATGGGCTGTTTGTGTTCATCTTTTATTAATTGCAGGCTGCTGAGCTTGAGGGAGATCTAGATTAACAGTGGCATATGTGTTACTGATCTCGCTGGCCCACATCTGCTCACCGTGGCCAGTGTGGGTGGAGGGAAATCCTTCAGCCCTGATTTTCCAGGCACTTACATGTTTCCAGCCGCTCCTCGAGGAAAGAGATCTGCTCGCTCAGGGAGTCAATTCTGTCCAGTTGCTGGAGGGAGTGGGACAGTCGGCTGATGGGGTCTGTGCCGACATCCTCCGGCGCTGATGGCATGAGGTTGTGGAAAGGGGCCAGCACCAGCTGGAGTTTCTGCAGGGAGAAGGGGAGCCGTGAGTGTGTCTCCCCCACACCAGGAGGACCTCCTGAAGGAATGCAGCACCCACCAGGACAGGTCTGTGGGGCTTTGGTGGTGTTCAAAGGGCTGCTGGGCTGGAAAAGCCGTGGCGTGGGTGCTGCCGGCAGCGTGGAGCACAGCTGGGATTGCTGCTGGGATCGCTGCCGAGGCCAGCACTGTGTTAAAAATAGAGCTGGGGAAGAGGGAAACCCTGGCTGTGAACAGCCCGGGGTGGGAGCTGGCTCAGCACAGCCTCAAGCAGCAACAGGGCAGGGCAGAGGGGTGTGCTGGAAGTCACCTGCTCCAGCGCTTCCACTCGGCTCCTCAGGTCATTCATTTCTTCCTTCACTTCATTGGAGGGACCTGAAAAAGTGACCAGGGGAAGGTCAGTCAGTAAAAGCCCATTGTCCAAGGCAAAGTGGAAGGTGCTGGGGAGAAAGACATCGCTGCAGGACTCAGGTCAAGCTCTGCTGTTTTTCCCTGTCCTCCCAGTGAGCCCCCAGGGTCTGCCCTGCCAGAATCAGGCCCCGGAGCATCAGATGGATCCAACACCTGCTGCAAGCACTGGCATCTAGTCCAGCTGCTAATGGCAGAGGCTTCTCCTGCTGCCAGAGCACCTGCAACAAAGCGGGGGATTCTTCAGGTAATGGGGTGATGCTTGAAGGACAAGGTGTCTGGTGGAGCCTGGCCTTTGGCACCCGTGTTGTCAGAGAGCACCCGAGTGTGCCCCATCCCAGGGTGGGCACAAGGAGTCGATCCTGCTGAGGGCCCAGGACAGGGACAAAGGCAGGCATGGCACATGCAGGCAGTGCCCTGCTCTCCCAGGTGTTTGCTGCGTGATGCCCGTGCTGGCCACAGCGCATTATTACTCACGGTACGAGTTTGAAGTGTCACAGCGCGTACCAAAAGTAATAATGGGCCGTCACCAGCGCCGCTCCTCGAGGCTCCGGACCTGCCCTGTGGGAATGATGATGGTGATGGAGAGAACAGGCACATCCCGGACACCACAAGCCACAGCCAGGCTGTGTCACCCTCACGGATGGATTTGTGTGCAGGGGAAGTTGTTTGGGTGGGAGAGGGACTCCTGGGCCACCGACAATAAAGCTGAGGGGTTCTCTGGCTGTCGTCCCCTCTCCGGCCACAGCTGCTCCAGCCGGTGACGCTGGGTGTTAACCCCAGCTCTCTGAAGGCCAAGAGCAGCTGGGGCTGCACTGGGGGGACAGGTTACCTGCTTGGCTGAAGGTGTCCATCTCGGGCACTGGCACCAGGGGCTGGCAGTCCTTGTCATCAGCAGCGAGGGCAAAGCCATCCTGGCACGTGCAGCGGTAGCTCCCGGCTGTGTTGACGCAGAGCTGGCTGCAGCCATGGCTCTGGCTGGCACATTCATCCACATCTGAAACACAGGAATGACTCAGTGAGGGCAGGAGGGATAGGGGTGAGTGGCACAAATGGCTTAGGCATGGGGGGCTGCAATGGAATTCCAGCAAGTGTCCCCAGAATGAGCTGGTGTTTGTGCAGGACACAGCTCTGGGTGTCTCAGCACCACCAGCACCCGGGACAGCCCAGCTGGATAAACCTGTGCTAAGCCTGAGAGGGCTCTGGCCTCCTCCCATCTGCCCACTCCCCCCACAACAGAGCCAGAAGCAAAAGCTGTGGCCAGAAACATCCCGGCTCTGGCCAGGCGGGCGCAGGCAGCACCCAGCTCTCATCCTGGATTTACGGCCAGGGTTTTGGTTCCAGCCAGCTGTGGTGAGGAGCCATCAGCCTTTCAAGTGTGTACAAAACCCAGTAACCTCTCCTCACACGGGGGAGTTATTAGAGCTGTTCCCACAAAGCAGAATGAGCTGAACCGCTTCCCACGCCCGAGCACTGTTTTAGGCAGTGGGAAAATCTTTTCCTCCTGCGCTGGAGCCGGAGCTGTCAGTGATGGGCTCAGCCCTGCCTGGCCCAGCATGGGTCAATGCCACATGCTCCTCCTCTGCCTCACAGGAGGGTGGAAAGCTGGGAGAAGCTGGGAAACACCACGACAGGGGCTTTGCACCACTGGTGTGCACCACCCTGCCCGATTTCCCTGTGCTGTGAGGAGCATCGGGCTGCTCCTGTGCTGGAGAGGAGCCTGGTGCCTGGAGACTGCCAGGCTTCCCTTCCACCCCTGGATATTTACGGATTTAGTCCCTGCAGTAAATGGGTGTCTTAGTTTACAGCGAGAGTTTACAAAGCCTGGGAGAGGGAGGATCACAAGCACACAACCTCGGGCCAGCCCCACAAGGTTTCTGTGCTGCAGAAAGGCTCTTGCTGATGTGCTCAGAGCTCTGCTCGCTCTGACCAGAAGGGGAGAGAAAATGTGGGTGCCAGGGCTGCACATGAGGGCTGGGAGCGCTGAGGCAGCCAAAGGGAGGTCAGAACTCCCCTGGGAGCCAGGCTTCCCATCCTTTCCTGGCCAGACCATCGGGCATCAGTGCCATGGAGTGACACATGTGGCTGTGCATGTGTGTGCACCAGGCATGTCCCGAGGTCTGGTAAGGAGCCACAGTGCTGGTCCCTGTCCCCACTGAGGGGTCAGTGCATGGTCAAAGGACAACCAGAGCCCTGTGGCAGCAGCTCTGATGCTTCCCAAGGTGAGCTCTTCCAGCAGCAGCACAGGGAGCAGGGAGAAGAGTGACATGGCCAGTACCTGTCTGGCAGGCTCGCCCCGTCCAGCCGGGTGGGCAGGCACATCTGCCAGGGAAGGTGCAGCTCCCGCCGTTCTGGCATGGTACCCAGCAGAGAGCTGTGAGAGGAAACACCAGCACAGCATCACCCAGCAGTTCTGGGGGTCCTGAGCTCCCCCCTCCCACCCTGGATGCAACGCACACACTGCACACCTCAAAACAGACACCAGCACCAGCCCAGGGGCAGCAAAGACAGGGAGGAGGGTGATGGACTGAGCTTGTCAGGGGATGGACTGACTGCTGCTGTGGTTTGCATTTGTGGCCTCCTGAAAGCATTTCTCTTCCACTACTGCTGATTTATGTGGAAAGGAATTACTCGCTTTATTTATCCTCTGTTAACTATAGAGGTAATGAGCGATCCCAAAGGAAAAAGGCCCAAGAGGCAGCAGAGAAAGGCTGGGAATTAATCAGATATTGAACTGCATTTGGTTGTGATGTTTAAAATATAAATGGTTTCCTAGAGAGAGAATCCACCTGACAGGCAGAGTGTTGGTGAATGAGAGAACTGGTCCTGGGCTTCCTCCAGGAACACAAGGGATCTGGGGATGAGCACTGGTCCAGCAAACTCTTACCTCTGTTACAGCTGAGTGTGTGAGTGTTTGCTCTGCTCCAGCCAGGACAGCACGAGGCCACGGGCTCGGGCAGCTGCCTGTACCTCTGCCGATAGGCAACTCTGTAGATGGTCCTGCAATGCAAGGATGGGGCTGAGCTGGGTGCCAGAGCACCTTCCTCAAGCCTCCATCCCATTCCCTGCACTGGCACCCACCACCAGGAGCATCGTCCCTTTGGATCGAGGCAGGACTGCCCCCTCCCGCAGCCCCCCTGGTTGCTACCACACTGGGAGCAGGTCTGTGGCACAGGCAGTGCCCTCACCTGTAGGTGCTGCAGACACGGTGGCCCTGGCAGGTGGTGAGGTAGGGCTGGTAGACGGGCTGGACGTGGGACTCGGTGTAGGCGCCCGCCCGGCTCTGCGGCGCCGCGGCACAGACCCTGCGGCTGAGCAGAGGGGACAGGGTCACATCTCACCCCCCAGGATGGGGCCTGACAGCCCCTCTCCGCAGAGGGCGAGTGAAACAGCAGTGCCTAATTGCCCCAGTGCCCTGGGAGGCCACTTCAAGCTGTTTTGGGGCACTGGCCTAAATCTGGAGCACTTTGGGCTGCACAGGCACTTCCTCCCCTGCCCCTGTGCCAAGGCACTGACGTCTCCTCGAACACTCACCCAGCACGGTCCTTCTGTCCCAGGGGAGCAGTCAGGACTCAGATTTAGGGATGATTTATTTATTCCATTCATCATCTCCATTCCCCTAAAATCACTCACTTTCTGGGTGGATTTTTCCTTTCTGAGACTTTTGCATTCCTGAAACGGATGCCTCTGTGGTCACTAAGAAATTAATGACTTCACAGGCAGGGTCAGGCTCACCGCAAAAAAAAATAGAGGCTAGATGAAAGGGGCCCTCCAGCCTTCCTAAGATAACTGTTATCCAGCCAGAAACTTTCCCAAGGTTAACAGCCAAAGTAGTCTCAGTTAAATACCCTCTTTTTCAACATTTTTTCAGCCCAAGCAGGTCAGTCCCACTGAGGAACTCATCCCCTCATCTCAGCCTCCCAGCTCAATTAGAAACTAAAATAAAAAGCCTGGGAATTAGCATGGACATCAGATGGCTTCCATTAACTCCAGAGAACTCCTCTCAGCCTCGTGATTAATGTTATAGAAAATGCAATTTTTAAATGGCAATTGTTTGCTTTGCAAAATTTAGAATAAAGCTCTGGTTGCAGCCTGTGCGTGAGAGTGAGGAATTCAGCTGTGGTTTTAGTCCCAACCAGAATGTGAAAGGTTTGATGCTGGAGGAGCATTTCAGTGTAAAAACAAACTTTGTAGAAAATGTGAGCTGTATCTAGAGGTGGAAGTTGAGCTCCAGCTCCTCTTGGTTGGGGAAGAATCTGGGGCACTGAGCTCTGGGTTTCCTCTGATGCAGTGGGAGCTGAGCTGTGCCTGCCCAGCCTGTGCTGGGATCCCAAGTGCCAGGTCAGACCCTTTTCCTGGAAAGGGAAGGGAAATTGCTGAGTTTGCAGGATCATGGACCACAGCACCATCCTGGGGAGCACAGGGCATAGCAGGCACCAGCCCACCAGGGCATTCCACACCCGTGTCCCCTAGATGTTGTGTCCATCAGAGCTGAGAGCTGCATCCTCCTCTGATGGGAGCTGCATCCTCCTTTGACAACTTGTTCACAAGGCTCAACTGCTGTGATTGATAGCAAGATTTCACAAACATTTTTGTGAAGGATGTGCTTGAAAGAGACAACAATAATAATTCCTGAACAGCTCAGGGTCTGATCACCTTTTGACTCTCACGGACAAAAATCCCAGAGTGTCTTTGTGTCCCTGCCTGGAGCTAAATGGGCATTTTCTCTGAGAGGTTTTCTAGCTTCAGTGAAAAAGCAAACAACCAGCAAAGGGCTGCCAGAGCCTTTTTCCACCTCCTGACCAGCCTGGGGAGCTGCCCATGTCCATGCTGGCCGAATAGGGCTCTTCACCTGGAGAGGATGTGCCTCACCATGACATGCACATGGGCACGCCCGGGAGGTGCAGACAGAATGGGGCCTTACCCTGCCCGGGCAATGCCATCGGTGCTGGTGGTGCTGAGGATGAGGAGGAGTCCCAAGAGGAGGCAGCTGAGGTGGCACATGTCCTGTCCCTCCCACAGCACCCCGGGCTGTGCTGCACGACCGGCTCTCGCTCTTCAGTGGGATGTGCTGCCTCCTACCACATGTCCCGTCCTTCAGTGTGGAACCCTGCAAACAAGAGAAGAGTAGTGTGAACATGGATGTCCTTCCCCAGCTGGTGACATCTGACAGAGCCGTGGGGACACACCCCTGGAAAGGGGGGAGCTCCTCCAGGCACAAACCCACCTTTCCCTACTCATCTCAATATTGTGGCGGTGATTTAGCCCAGGGGATGCCTGGAGAGGCTCTCACAGCACCAGGGTCCACTCAGTCATGTGTTGAGAGACAGGGAAGGGACCTGTGTCGCCTGAAACACTCTGCTAATTCTAGGCAGTGAGGGCAAAACAATGGCCCCTAATTTCTTAATCCACACAGCATTGTAAAGCTGTGTTTTCCCACCACATAACACATGAAATCTGATCTTCTTCCCTTTAAAATACAAGTTCGTGCCAGAGAAAAGTGCTGCAAGGCCATATGTACCGTCTGCAGAGTCAGATCTGAGCCGCAAATAAAGAGCTTTTGATTTTCTAGCCGAGGACAAACATGAAACAAGGCAGAAGAAGGTCAGTAACAATATCTAATTTAAACAGTATTGCATTTAAACAAACCAGTTGGCCTCCGGATGGCAGCAGCTGAAGGAGGAAGAAATAAAGAAACCCACCTTAAACATACACCAATTAAAGAAAGAATCTGTTGTTCTGATTAAACCTTGAGAAAAGGGAGGCAACACAAGAAACCTCCTTCTGAGACTGGAAATATGGTCACTGCAAAACAACTTGCTAAAATCCCCAAGTGCTGTGGGGTGGGATTGGACTGGAAAGTTGCAGGTGGATCCCCAATCTCCATTAGGATTAATTCCTAACTCTGAGACAACTTGTTAGGGATAGCCACCATATATCTGTAGACCCTGCAGGTCTCAAATCCCTCCTCTGAGGCACTCAGGATCATCCTTTCCTTTGTGCAGGTAGAGAAACTTAAACATGGAAAGATGGAGACTCACAACTAGAGAGAAATGAGTCTGGTGCTTTCCTGTTCCTTAATATCAAACATCAACTATCAAATGTCAAATATCACAGCATATTTCCATGCAAGCCCAGTTTTGAGGATGTAAGGAGGATTTTGGTGCTACAGAGCCTGTAGTCCTCCATTCTCCTCCAAACATAGTAATAAACTTCATCTCCTAATGACTGATTTATGGTATTTCCACCACCAGGAAAGCAAACCTTGCTTGACCTGCAGGAAAGTTTTTGAAAAGTAGTGAAGAAGCTTTCTTTTTCCTCAGTTCTCCCGGAGACATCCCAAGGACACTGGTGTACAGACACACTAACTCCCCTCTGCTCCGCCAGCCAGCTTTTCCCAGGGCTATACTGGGACACATATTTTCCCTACAATCCCAGATCCCCAGGTTAGCAGTGCTTCTTCTGAAGTCTCTAAGTCAAACTCTGCCAACCATCTCCGTCCTCCCACAGGATTCCCGTGGCTGCCATTGGAGCTTTCCCTGTGGGGACAGCAAGAAACACAGGGCACGAGCCTAAAATATAGATGGTTTGTTTTTTCACTTTGAAATGGAGCAGCACTGCCCTACCTCGAGTGGTCAGAGGATCCCTCTGGGTCATAAAACTATGGTTGCTTCGTACAAGAAAAAGTTGCAAAAGTGCAAAACATGATAGTCTATACTTGTCTTTTTTATAAGTTTATGAAAATCAGCCTCTTTATAGCCACTGAAGATCTTCCAACCTGTTGCCACCACCTATTCTAATATTGCTCTTTTAATGCATATAACTCAAGAAAAATCTTTTTATGCTTAAAAAAAAAGAAATAGTTTTTGGTCACTGCCTTTGTAGTCCCTCAAATGAAGAGGTCTGGCAAGTGAAACTATGTGGGTGCCTCTAAGTTTCTGCTGTTTCAGGAGTCAGCAAAGCCTCCTTGGCTGGCCACGTGCTCCCGTGAGTCTGGGGATCCTTCTCCTGCCAGCCAGAAACATTCCTATAGCTCTCCTAAGTCTGCTCTTGCCTCACCTGCCACAGCCACCAATGGCAAACACAATCCACCGCGCAGGTGAGCAGCACTTTGTGCAGCTCTGCCCATGGAACCAAGACTAAAGATCCAGCTGATGGCAGCAGGAGGAATCGAGCTCTGTCTGCAAAGGGATGCGAGACAATCCAGCCCCTCGGGAGGATGCAATAAACCTCACAGGCTGCACTTTTCCCAACAGCCTGGCCTGGTTCTGCAGGTGAAACCGTGGCTCCAAGCCGTGCTCTGGCCCTGGCCTGTGCCCTTAGAGCCAAACCCTCCTGCAAACCTTAAGAGTCTGCACCAGCCGCAGGGGGATGGATTGTTCCTTACAGACACCTCCAGCTGTTCCCTGCTCAGGCTGGGCACGGCACGCGGTGCGGGCGGGATGGAGCGGGACGCGGGGATGCGGGCACTATGGAGCGGGGAGAAGGGAGGGGGAACGGCAGAGGGGGCTCCGGGGGTACGGCACAGTGCGGCGGCACATAGGGACACGGGACCGCGGGGGCTGCAGGGACACCGTTATCACGCGGGGGCTGCGGGGACCCGGGAATCACGGAGCGGGCTGCGGGGACCCCCAGAGGCCGCGGGGGGCTGCGGGGACGCGGGTTTTCGAGGATCTGCAGGGACCCGGTGTCCCGGGGGGCTGAAGGAACTGCAGGGACGCGAGTATCCCGGGTGTCACAGCGTGTAAAGGGACGCGAGTGTCCCGGGGGGCTGCAGGAACTGGAGGGACACGGGTACCCCGGGGGACTGCCGGGACGCGGCGCAGGGATGCTCATCGCGGCCGCAGTAGCCCCATCCCCGCTCCCCGGCATTGCCTGCAGCCCCGCAGCCCCTCCGCCGGCCCAGGGCCCCCCCCGGCCGCCCCCCCAGCGCTGCGGCACCGAGCCCCGCTCCGCCGACACCCCCCGCCCCTCCCCGCCGGGGGATGCGGCCGCGGCCCCTCCGGCCGCGCCGGGCGGTGCCCGCCGGGACTCACCGGTGGCGGTGCCGGAGCCGCGGAGTCGCCGCCGCGCCGCGGCCCCCCGCGCATTTCCTCCCCCGGCCCGAGCCGGTCCCTCCGCCCCGGCCCAATGAGCTCCCGGCGGGGAGGAAAGCGGAGCCTCCCGGCCGGGGGGAAGCGCCGGGGCCCGGGGAGCCTCCGCCTGCCCCCGCCCCGCCGGCCCCCGCCGGCCGCCACCTGCCCCCGGCGCCCCGGGAACATCTGGGGACACGGCGAGACCGCCGGAGAAATCAGTTCTTGCGGGGGGGGAGTGATGCGGGGATAGGGCAGGACCCCCCCCCAGGAGCCCAGCCCGGGGCGGTGGGACACGCTGGTGGTGCGCCCCGTGAGTTTTCGCTGCCTCTGATGGAGACGGGATTGCAGGAAACCCCTGCCCTGGATTGGTCTGGAGCCTTACCTGGTGACCCCACGTCAGGCTGAGCCCCTCAGCCCCTGCGTGCCCCACACTGCGAGGACACGAGGTCCCTGAACCCCCTATGGCCCAGCCCGCCTGGGTGGGCAGGGGATTATAGCAAGAGAGAGAGATCCCAGCGCAGCCCCCGGCCCCTCGCCCAGGGGTGTTCAGACTCGCCGGGGAAATGGTCCATCGCCAGTGCAGTGCCCAGGGCAAATTTATTTCTCTTTGCTAAAAAATATTGTGGCTGGTTCCGCACTCCCCACGAGCACATATAATGTTAAGAGGAGACGTGTTTCCCTAGGTTAGAGACCTGGTCCGCAGCCTCCCGCCGTGCCCCGTTAATCCCCCTGAGCTCATTACAACACCGAAGTCCTGCAGAAGCCGGCAATAAACTGCCAGGACAGGGAGGCTGGTTTTCAGCGAGCCCTAAAGGATGATTACAGGATTCCTTGGAAGCTCCCCCAGCTGTGGAGCCATGTGAGGATCAACCCCAAGGGTGACACACTGGGCTCAGCTCCGGCTGGGCAACACCTGCCCCGGGACAGCTCAGGCAGCCCCATCCCAGCTGCCTACAGGCTGCTCCTCTTAAAATGCCCAGTTATTTATCAAAGCAGTTCGGTTTGTGCCAAATTGCCACTTGTTTTGTCTACATTTTTGTCTGGAAAATTAGAGCACAGAGGCTTATTGTTTTTCAAATGACTTAGGCGCCTGCCCATGCACAGAGCCATTCTTGAAGATAGCGGGGATCTGATGTGCAAATGAATGGCAGGATACAGCCCCCTGGGAATATTTGTTCCCATTAAGTTTTGTAATTTTTTTGAAAGCATGTAAGCATTTAAAGGAAATATTTACCAGCTAAACAACAATGGTGCCAAAAGGGCAACTGAGATCACTGGCCCATCCCCTCTATTTCCTCAGGGATACGCTGAGGCCACTGATGGAACTGGAGCTGTCTCGGGTCGTGCTGCACCCCCCCGGGAAGCTGATGGGTGCTGGTGTTCTGGAGTGGGGCTCCCCGTGTGAAAGGAGTTTGGTGGGATTCTCCCTGAGGAAGAGAACAGAGGGGAATCCACCCTGGGATGTGCTGGGATCCCTCCCAGCAGCAAAGGAAAGGCTCGCTGGTGCTGGTGGAAGCACAGCTCCACGTCACACAGCATCTCATGCAGCACAGGCGGGGTTGCTCACCCTGTGGATCCATCCTACCTCCCGGGAATGATTTCAGCTCATTTAATCTCCTAAACACGAAGCAGAGGCAACTTTTCCCAAGAGCCTTGAAGGGACGGTAATTATCTTGTTATGCCAAGAGTGTTACTGTTTTTTCTGGTGTACGGGGGAGATGAACAGAGCCTGAATTATTGCCTAATAATTGCAAAATGCATTTGGAAGCCAAGGGAAAGCTTCTCCGTCTGGCCATGCTGAAAGCACAGGATCTCATTTTGCAGCCGAGGCACTCACCTTGTTCACGGTGCTCCATCATGTGTCCTGGGCAGGGATCCTTTCCTTAAGGAGCATCTTGGTTTCTTACTGTCAGGACAGAAAAAGCCCACTGTTACACTCCCCTTGTCAGGTAGGCAGAGACCAGTGACCCAGCCCTTGCCCATGATGGACCTGGTGTGGGATGCCCTGGACACTCCCAAAGGTGTGGAGCTGTGGAGGATGAAACATTTGTGGAGTGGGGTGGAGGATGGAAGCAGGATCGTGACTCCCTGTGGCACTGGCACTGAGCTCACACCACTGGTGTGCCAGAGGCACGGACACTGTGACACCGTGGTAGGGCACAGGGAGGCCCTAACTGCTTGGGAAACCTTTGCTTGAGTCCCTGAGATACCAAGTGTAAATTTGATGGTGAGGAAGAGGATGGACTCATCCTTCAGCTCTTTGCAGGACACCGCCCAGCACAGGACCAAGCACACCACCTTCCAGGGTCCCCATTAGAGCCTTCTCAGCCATTAGGCAATTATTCCCTAAGTGCACTGAGCATTTTAAAATTCTGCCAGTATTTTAATTGCAAAATATTTGCTTCGCAGTTCCATTTATTGGGTCAAACCTTTGCTCAAGCAAGTGCCCGTGTCAGCTGCTAAAGAACTGCTTATAGCCCATTAAAAGAGCATTTAATCCTCCGCTCTTATGTGCTAATATTCATTATGCTGGGAGGAAATCCCCCAGGACACTGCCTGGCAAAGTTCCCTTGGAAGCAGAGGAGTTATGCCAGTTCAGAGTGGGGGAAGATCAGATCTGTTGGCACCGTTAAGGTCAGTGTGATGAGCTTCTGACAAAGGCAGCAAGGGATTTTGGCTCCTGCCTGCAAGGCTGTCTGAATTTGAAGTCCTCCCTTGACCAATGTTTTACATTTTTCCCCCACAGCTTTCTCCCTCACACACTAGAAATGTACTCCCACGACATCTAATATTAATGCCTGTCTCCAGGCCAAGAAAGAAATGTTTCTGCCCAACCTCCCTCTTAGATTTAACAATGTCAAAACCTCCTTGTCTCCCACTGGTTTTACCACCAGCGTGAGCTGAGAAGGACACCGAGTGCTGGCCTGGAGCAGGTCTCAGGCTGAGCACTGGGCTGGCTGTGAAAGTCAGATTTTCACCCACCCCTCTGTTTCCTAGAGCCTGTCCCACAGACCTGCCAAGCCCAATGCACCTGCCTGGGCATCCAACATCCCCCTGAGAGCATCTGTGGTGGATCAAGGCATGGAGCTGTGGGCTGGAAGTGGTCCCCTCTGTGATAGAAGAGCTTGGAGGGTGTGAGGTATCTGGGTATGAGGGGACTTAACTTTGCTCTGGCTCTGTAGGCACAAAAAAGGAATGATAACAGAAGAGAATTAATAGGAGGTCAGCACTAAAGTCCCACATCAGAGAGGAGCACTTCCATCCCATCACAGAAAACGGGACGTGCCCCGGCACACGAGCACTGCCCCAAACTGGGGCCAGAGGTGCTGAAATGGCAGATGGATGGGGGGACAGGCAGGAGAGTGACACACATACAGATGCAAAACTTTTCAGCTGCTACAAGCCCTGGCTGACCCCGTACCTGCTGTGGACAATGGGCTCTCACTGGCCTCTGCAGGGGTCTGGCACAGAACTGGAAGCACTTGCTAAAGCAATAGGAATTTTTGGTGCTTCTCAAAAAAAAAGAGGGAATGGCTTTTCCTGTTCTAGGACAAATTCTGCTCAGGTTTTTCATAAGGCTGTTTGTAAACTTTACAGTTGAGTTGAGGCTTTGGAGCAGCCAAAGCTCTGCAGAGCTCTGTGAGGAAAACGACCTCCCACTATTCTATTATGTCCTATATTGTTCTCAGCTGCGTCAGCTGCAGACCAGTTATCTCAGTGGAAATCTAGATGAGTCCACTGATGGCAGTGGGATAAAAACAGGTCAAATCAAGAAAGATACTTGGCCTGTAGCTCTCAGTCTGTTGTCACCAGTTGCCCAGGGCTCTGTGTATTATAACCGAGACTGGAGCCCCACAAAGTGGTATTTTTTTTGCCTGAGTAAGGACTTAACAAGCATTAAGTGTCTCAGGACAGGTGTATTATAACTTAAGGTGACCATGGGGACAATCAGCAGCCGAGCTGCAGCTGTACAAAAACAAATGCAAGAACAGGGCAACATCCCATAGCTAGGTTTATTTTCCTTTGCATGCACACTTGAGCTCTTATTTACATTTAGAGAAGGCAGCAGTGGCTGCAGTGTAAAAACTGGGAAATGATTCATCCCACCCAGGAATAAACTGAATTTTGCAGCTTTCTGTGAAATTTCCCTGGCAAAACACGGCATTAGTCAGCAGGGAATGGTCTCCCACCCCACTTCCCCAGTGAATCACTCCAGAGGAGAGCATGGGAAGTGCAGCGGGATAGCAGGGAGATGCAGGACAGCTTGGTCCCTGAACCGTGACCATCCCAGGGAGCAGCTCAGCAAAGAGCATTTCCCACAACAAATGCTCTGATTTTTGCTCTGATTATCCTTCTCTTCCAGGAGAAAATCTCCAGCTCCAGGAACCCGTACGAAGCAGAGCTCCTCTCTTCCCTCACCTCCCAGGCTGTGAGCTGAACGGGGATCCAAGAGCTCGCTTCAGGAGAGAGGACAGAGCAAAAAAAACATTTCTCGTCACTCCCTTCTCTTTGCAGAGACGCTTTCCTTTCCCTGTCTGGTCTGAGACCTCTCCCCTGGTGTTTTGCCATGACCCCCTGCTGCTGGTGGGGCTGTGAGGCAGGTTGGTTTACCCTAATTTGTTGCAGCTTGTAAATCTGCCTCCCCCGGGCCAGCCCCATCTGCAGCAGCAGAGCCTGGGAAACGCCTCAAATGAGCCTCCAGACCAGATTCATTTTCTCTTTCTTACCTCCAGGGAACCTTGTGAGAGATGGCAGTGGAACAGCAGAGAGGGGAGAGTAACTCCATCGGCAGATCACAGGGAAGAATACTGAGAATCTGCCAGGACAGACTCCGTGTTTTCCACTCCTGCCCAGAGGTGGACTATTTTTGAGGATGCTCAGGATCCATTTGGACTTCTGCCTCACACAGCTTCCCAATCCAGTCTTAAATTAATTTCATCACTGACAAAGCCTTTTTGTTTCTTCTTATTTTTTATTCTCTGCTCAGTGAATTGATTCCACGAATGTTAGACCCTTGGAAAAAGTATGCTGGGTTATTTCTACTGAGAGCATTTACTGGTGTGGTTCTGCTCCATATTCCCACCCAGCCAGCCAGTGCCTGGGTATCTCAGCTGCTCTTTTATCCCAAAATACAGGTGGCTGAAAACAGACAGCATGAAAATCAGCCGGCTCCATGGCTGTAAATTTGGGAGGCTTTGCTGAGCTCCAGGCGTGCACACCCGGCACACTCCAGGCTCGGCTGCTAGGCAGGACAGAGCCTTGGTGTGACAGGTAGGAGAGTCCCTGCCCACATCCCTGTCCTGCCCCTCATCCTGCCTGGATCTGGGGCTGAATTTGGCAGCACAGAGAGGAGACTGGCAGGCAGAGAGCACGGGGGGAAGGACGGACAGCGCGGTGGTGTATCAGTGGTCAGAGAGCAGACAAAGGAAAAAGGGAAAGAGTAACAGAAAGTGAAGAGATTTGCTAAGAATTTGCAGCCATCTCACAGGAATTTGTGCAAGTGGAGGTAAAATTTACCCGCGGAGTTCTCTGCTCCTGGAAAACATTCTGAGTGCCAGTGGGGTGAATTAAAAATAACAGTGCTGGAGGCTGAGCTCCACTCTGAGCAAAGCAGACCCAGCCTCACCAGGAGCTCAGATGGAGGATGCTCTCCACACCTTTTTGCTTTAAAGGACGCTTTACACACCCTTGTGCTTTGAAGGATGCTTTACACACCCATGTGCTCCAAAAGATCCTTTATGCCCCTGTTTGCTCCACGCTGCTCCATTCCCAGGGCTCCTACCATCACCTCTGCCTCAGCAGGGGCGAAATCACCCAGAGCCCGCAGGGTCTTACCTGGCAAGGACACACTCCCGCTGCCCCAGAGCCAGCCCCACATCCCATCCCATCCCATCCCATCCCATCCCATCCCATCCCATCCCATCCACCCCATTCCCATTATGGCTCTACGGTACCTGTGGCACCCCGCTGTCCCCCGCCGTGCTGGGAACAGCCCCAGTGCCGTGCTCCTGGATGGCTCCCGGTGACCATCCCTGCCCAGCCACCATGGGTCCAGCGGGCCCAGGCACCCGCCCGGTGGTCCCAGCATGGCCAGCTGCCGGCCATGCACAGGCAGGAGGTGGCTGCTGAGGTGGAAGGGCGGCTTTTTATGCTTTTCTTCCTGTATAAATCAGGCCGGGGATGGACAATCCCAGACAGGACTTCCTGTGTGTGTTGTGAGCTGATAACGGGCGCCGCGAGGAGAACAAACACAGCCACCCCGCACCCCGAGGGGGAGAGGGGCTGAGGGGCAGGATCCCCACACCGTGACCACTGGGGATGGACACGGGGGGCTGAAATGGAGAGGAGGGAGACATGAGTCCCCAGGGACACAGGGAGCGACAGGGCGGCCGCCCGGGCTCCCTCCTGTGCCTCACACCAGGCCCAAGGTGGGTTCCTGCCCCCTGCCCTCCCACCTCACTGGGGCACATTTCGGCAGCACCCCTCACAGACACCACTCGTTCCCCCTCAGAGGGGGTGGATCGGCGGCAAGTGGGGATCCCTGTCCTCCCTCACAGCCCGTGCCAAGTGAGGCGGGGTTGGCGGCCATCTTGTCATGAGGGACCATGTCGATGTTACGCACCAGCAGAGCGTGTTCTGGGGTATTTGTGACCCCCTAAAATTTGGGTTACAGCACTATGGTCAATCAGTTTGCTGGATGGCTTGTCACCCCTGTCACACTGTGCCTGTGTTGGGAAGGAGCGAGGTACACGCATTTTGGGTGACAAAACCTACAGGACGTCACCCAGCAAAGATGGCGCCTTCAGGACCAGGCAGCAGAGCAGCATGAAAACAACTGCCCTGGTGCCCTAATTTTCAAGCCCGTTCTGCGGCAAAACTGATTATAATTCCAAAGTTAATACACGTGTATGTGTGACCTTGGTTCTGGGTGACCAAAGGAGGAACAACACAGTTTGTAATTGGATTTTGAACCTTTGATCAGGACCATGCTAAGAAAGGAGACATTTTAGAAGCATGAGGGCTGTGGCGGAGGCAATTATATGTCAACCCTCAAGACTCCCATGGCAGCCCGTGGGTTCTGCCCCTGTCCTGGCAGAGCACATGGTGTGGGTTTAGGGACACGTGCCATGTGGGGCTCCCCTGGAGCAGGGCTGTGTCCCCGGCTCGTGCCGCACGTGCCGGGGTCCTCCCGATTGTGCACAGGCTCACGGTGAGCACAGGATTACTCCCACCCTGATTCAGCAAAACAGTACTCTGGGCAAGTCCCCTGGGAGTTGCAAAATATTCCTGTGTTTATTTACATAAATGCATGGCTAAAGAAAGCCCCCTCTTGTTTTCCTTGGCAGACAGGGTTTTAAAGGCTGCTTTCTGCTGCCCATCATCCTCTCCAGCAGTAGGTAATTGTATACATCGTGTCCTGCTGGCAGCAAGCATTCCCAGCTGGTGGATTCTGTGGGAGCACACCTGTCCAGGGGAGTCTCCTCGAGGCAAAAGAGTGCATGTGTTTGTGTGTGTGTGTGTGTGTGCTCGGCTGTGCATGTAGGGAGGGTCTATCTCCCTGTGGTTTTCTAGTTGGTGATGAGTTTTAAGCATCATCTCCCCGTGGAAAGGTACAGGGTTCACATGGATGGCACGTGTCACCTGTGAGATGAGGCAGCGCTGGATGCTCCGTTCAGATGAGAAATGCTGAGCACTGGGAGCTCAAGTCCAGAGCTGAGAGCTTTCTCCACCATCAGCAGACACCCAGGCTCAACCCTATAATGTGCAGAGCCTTCTCAACAGCTCCTGGAATCCTCCCCAAAACACTACACTCAAATTTTATCATCTGAAACAACCACTGCTTGGTCCTATGCCATCTCTCCCGTGTCCTCTGCCCTGGGATGAGTGCAGGTCACAGGGCATGACAGGGACATCATCCACCCACACCTCCATGTGCACGCAGAGCCAGGCACAGAGCGGGACTGCTCTGGCCTCAGCAGCGGAGCCGCAGGAGTGAAATGGGATGTGTGGAAAACGTTTCCTGTTTACCCAGTCTTTGGAGTCCTCAGTAATAACTGTTGGAGCGGGAATTGGTCAGCAGCAGGGGCCATATGAATGGGTGTTTTTACATTTGAAATCGTGACGCCTCATCTTGCAGAGCTGCCACTGTCCTCCCGGGGAGGTCAGTGTTGGGGGAAAGCCTGGGTGTCAGCCAAGGCTCAGTTATGGTGTGCGAGAAGGAGGGAGGGAGGGAGAAAGGGAGGGAGGAAGCCAGAGGGTGTTGGTGCTGCACACTTGGCCATGCTGGCCATGCCCACAGTCCTGCCTCTGCCTGCACCTCCCATTGTCCCCCAGCCTCCTGCTGGCATCTCCGCTGGGGTTCCAGCTCCCTGGCAGCTCCCAGCCCATCCTGAGGTGACCTTTTGGGTAGCCCCCAGTGGCAAGTGGCAGGTGGCAGTGGACCCAACAGAGCAGAGCATGCAGATGGGCAGGCAGCTCCAAGCTG